CCATTTAAAAAGCTATACAAGAGATACACTAAAAATATGACAGATAAATAAAAACAGAATTCTGTAGAATGTTCAAGAAACCTATACGAAGTCAGGGAAAGGAAAACAGAAAAATGAAAACAGAAAGAAAAGGAAAGTGACAGAAAAGCAAAAATAAAGTGACAGACTTAAGCCCTAGTATATCAGTAATTACATTAAATGCAAATGTTCTAAATACATCAACTAAAGACAGAGATTGGCAAAATAGATAAAAAATGTGACAACAATATGTTATCTGTAAGAAACTCACTTCAAATACAACAGTATAGGGGGGTTGAAAGTAAAAGAATGGAAAAAGTTACATTATGTAAACATTAATCAAAAGAATGCAGCAGTGGCTATATTAGTATCAGATAAAGTAGGCCTCAGAGCAAAGAAAATTACCAGAGATAGAGTGGAACATCAGTGAAATAGATAACAGAGATTAAGGAGTGCACTTATATGATGAGCACTGGGTGATGTGTGGAAGTGTTGAATCACTATATTGTACACCTGAAACTAATATAACACTATGTAAACTATTAAAAAAAAAAAGTCAATCTACCAAGAAGACAGGGCAATCCTAAATGTTATGCACCAAATAACAGAGCTGTAAAATATATGAAGCAAAAACTGACAGAATGGAAAGGAGCAATAGCCAAATCCACAATTTTAGCTGGAGACTTCAACATTCCTCTCCCAACAACCGATAAAGCAACTAGAGAGAAAGTCAGCAAGGATCTAGAAGAACTCAACAGTATCAACCAACAGGATTTGATTGACATTTATGGAACACTTCACCCAACTGCAGCAGAATCCACGTTCTTTCAAGTGCCCATGAGACATATACCAATATATACCAATATAGACCAGATCTTGGGCCATAAAAAATACTTAGTAACTTTCCAAGAATTGAAATCACACAGAATGTGTTCTTTGACCATAATGGAACCAAACTAGAAATCAATACAAGTAAGATTACAGGAAATCTCCAAACATTTGGAAATGAAACACAACCCACTTCTAAATAATCCATGCATCAAAGGGGAGTCTCACCGAACTGAAGGACAATGAAAATACAATGTGTCAAAATTTGTGGGATGCAACTACAGCGTGCTGAAAGGAAAATGTAGATGCTTATATTATAAAAGAGTGCAAGCCTCAAATCAGTAATCTAAGGTCCCTGAAGAATCCAGAAAAAGAAGAGCAAAATGAACCCAAAGCAACAGAAGGAGGGAAATAATAAAGTTAAGAAATCAATAAAGTCAAAAACAGAAAAGTTGATAGAGAATATCAATGAAAAAAACTTGTTTTTTTTTTTTGAAAAGATCAATGAAATTGAAAAACCTCTAGCAAGATGACAAAGACAAAAATAAGATCAGTCCCAAGATGAAATGGGGTATCACCATAGACCCAGACATTAAAGGAACAATAAAAGAATAGAACTTTCTATATATGACAACTTAAATGACATGATAAACCAATTACTTAAAGAGCACATACTGCCATAACCTACCCCATGTGAAATAACTATTCAGAAAATAGAATCTGTGTTAAAAATCTCCAGACCCATGTGGTTTCACTGGAGAAATCTGACAGGTGTTTAAAGAAAAATTAACATTAACTTTATATAATCTCTTCAAGAAAAAACAAGTGCAGGGAACACTTCTCAAGTCATTTTATAAGCCAGTAATGCCCTTCTTTTAAAACCAGACAAAGACAATACAAAAAAAAGGAACCTTCAGAACAATATTGCTCACCACCTTAAAAAGACAAATGTGGTGAGGATGTGAGCAACTGCAATTCTCTTACACTCCTGATGGGAGTGTCAGTTGGTGAAACTGCTTTGGATAAAGGTCTGAGATGAGCTACTCGAACATGCATATACCCCTCGGCCCTGATTTCTACTCTTGGTCATAGACCTAATAGAAATGTTCCCATATGCTCACCAGAAGACCTGTACAAGAATGTCAATGACAGTACTATTCTAATAGCTCCCAAATACCTTTGTGCCCATCGGGAGTAGAATGGGTAAGTAAATTAAGGTATATGCACATAATGAAATATGACTGAGCAATGAAACTGAACATAACTTCAATTACATGCAACACAAACATAACATTGAGTGAAAGAAGCCAGAAATAAGAGCACACACTGTATGATTCCATTGATAGAAAGTTCAAAAACAAGCAAAATTACTCTTTGGTGTTAGAAAAACAGGAGAGTGGTTATTCTTCTGGAGGGTGGTGACTGGATGGGGATGTGGCAGACCTGAGAGGCTAGCAGTGTCTATATCTTGATCTGGGTGCTGATTATTACATGGGGGTGTGTGTGTGGTTTATGAATATTCATCACACTGTATTCGTAGATTATGTCTACTTTTCTCTGTGTATGGTATATTCAGTTATAAGTTGACTAAAAAGCAAAAAACCAAAAGCCTATTGGTTCCAGTGACATGAAGGTAACAGGTGAGCCCAAGTTCCAAGGAAGTGGCAGGCTTTGGGGATCTAACATTAATTCCCATTTTGCAAATGGTGACCCTGGAGCAGAGAACATCTCGGGGACTGGGGCAGGGCTGCAAAGCTACTGAGTCACCAGCAGAGCAGGGATTTGAACCCAGGGAGCTTGGCTGCTGAGCCTGTGCATACTCACTAAACTAGCCTGTCTCTTAATCCTTGAGAGCGCAAAGACAGTGAGGATAAAGGCAGCATTAGACAGAGTGTTCAAATGCATGTGAGTCTGAGGCGACTTGAGGAAGGGCAAACAGGCACAGCAACTTGAAGCTCTTGTGGATATCTTTTTGTCACAGCAAGTGACCAATATTCACAAGGACATCCAGATGTCATGTAGGAGAAGGGTAAGGAGTTTAGTATTCTCTGTTTATTGAGGCAGGGAAATGTACAATACATTTTGAAAGATTTTGGGTTAAGGGACAAACTCTGATGATATCTGGCAAAATCATTTATGCGAAACATTTAATTATCTCCCAATGCCAGAAAAATGCAGTGTGTGTGTGTGTGTCCGTGTGTGAGCATAAGCTCGACTCTTCAGGGGCACAATCGTATTTTGGTCTTGGAGGGAAAAAATACCATATCATTAGTCTTTTTTAAAAGCATGGAAATTATGATTTTGTGATTAGGCCAGGCTATAATTATAGGCCAAAGCAGGATAACTTAATATAATTAGTGTTAGAGCAATCACTTAAACTACTATATACAAACCACTGTCTGGAGTCTTAATTATACCACTGTATAAAAATCATTCATTCTGTCAGCTGCTCTCATTGCAAATGATGGAAAGGTATACACACAGAGGGACCAAATGTAAGAATAAAGGATCTAATCCGTATATTCTCAATACAATATTATCCATGGTCACAGATTAGAAAAGCAGTAGCTAATAAAGCAAAATGATTCAACTTAAAGTTCTTACTGCCTTAGAGAATGTGTCTAGTACATCCTTGAGAACTAATTTTTTTTTAAATTGAGTTTTCAGTGGAAGTATTTCCTGGAAATAACTCTGGAAAATTCTTTCCAAATTAAGAAAGCTTGCTGAATGCAATACTCTGTGAATCCCTTTTCTAATATAAAGGACGCACAACCTACACATCTGATATGACTTAATCCACAATGTACGTATCTGAACCTCTCATTGGGAAATACATGAAGTCATGATTAGCTGATAGTCACATAGATGGGGAACCAAAATTAGGAGTGAAGTCATTCTCAGCTCTGCCAAGATTGCTGTGTTACAGATATCTGACTGTCCTAGCGTGCACACCTAGAAACAAAGTCATCAGTCTCTACAAAACCCGAAGCCTGAGCAGCTTTCCTTGCTCAGTTAACCTTTCTTCACTTGGCTGCTACTCTAGTTTCAATGCGAGTTCTATTTCACATCCAGGCCCTTCTTTGGTGCCTCACCTACTTCTTCAAGGTGAACAAACTCCTCTGTGACCTCACAGCCACATTCTGCTTAGATGCTCTTCCTGGAAATGTTCCTTTGACTTTTATTTCACCGCTGCACACTTTGTACATTATGTGCGTTTGCATGGCTAGACAGCTAAGTTGCATGTATAGCACTCCATGACACCTTTGTATAAATTCATGATTCCAAGATCAACCGCATACTGTCTCCTATTGCATGTAAAAATAACTTCTGGAAAAACCTCTCTGGATTGTCTTTATACCTACCACATTTGTCCATACTTGACAAAATACCACACAGATAATAAGAAAAAGGAAACCGAAGTAGAGGAAAATCTATCTTTTGTGTTTTCAAACTTGCTTTAAAATACAAACATTTCCTGCAATGCAGAAGTTGAAAGTGATGAATGCTATGTGGATATTTTTCCACTTTAACTGACTGATCAGAAGAGTATTTATAAACCCCTGACTGATGTCTTGAGCTTGTAAATCAACACCAGGGGAGAACACTTTAAGCACATTTATCATCTAAGACAAACAGCCTATTCAGAGCATGATTATTTTTTATTCATCATTTAAGTTTCACCTCTACGTTTGCTTCTTCTCAATATTAATATTTGTATAAGACTTCTCAATATTTAATGTTACAGCTTGCCTGTTGCACGCTGACAAGGTTAGGTCACAGGCTTGATCTCTAGAAGACCAGTGAGCTTTGCCAAAAAGAAAAAAAAAAAGAAAACAAAAAGAAAACAAAAAGAAAACAAAAAAATGGTCGATTTTGTATTGAAGTCTGATGTTAGTCAGCTTCCTTGTCAGTTCCCATTGTTGGTTTCAATGACACAAAAATTGTAGCATCACAGTTTTAAAAGGGAAATTAAGCTCAAGATACTTTAGTGGACTGGCCCCATGACATGGAAGCTCATTCATTACCAGAGGGCACCCAGCCTCTTAGAACATCACAACTTTGAATGTGTATGACTCAGTCAACTCCCAGGACAGGCCACTGGGTCAGTGGCGCTCTGTCACATTCAAAGACAGAAACATAAAACGAAATCTTACCTGCTCATTCTCCTCTTCATCACTACTTAGCTTAAGGTCATCTTCTAGCATTCTGAAAAAAGGAACAAAGAGGTACAGATACTTAGCAAATTCAAAATAATTCAGCACCAAACTATCTCTGTTAGAGCAATGTTTCAATAATAAGTATACTTTATTTCCTGATTAATTGCAAAAACAAAACAAAACAGAACCCAAAAGAAACCCTTTCCTTTTAAGTCTTTTCTTCTGATGTACTTAGGAAATAACAAACTGCCCCATAATGAAAATTAACCCTCACAACAGTCCTTTATAGAGATCAGATGGGTTCCTTCAAGAATATGAGGTTGTAAACCAACAGAATCAGATAGGTGCTTTTGCTTGCAGTTTGAATTCCAGTTACTTGTTCAGTGTTCGGCATGTGACAGCACTGTGCTATGTCTCCATGATTATTCATGGTAAACAATCAGAGAGCAGGTAGAACTCTGCCGACAGCAATAATGCAATCAACTGGAGCTGTGAGCGGTAGCTGCTTAGGTCTCCACCAGTCAAACATCTGGAGAAGACATCTGCCCGAAGACTCTGCTGGATGAGGAAGACCAAATGGGAGAGAACTTTCTGAAAAGACTCTGTGAAGGCAACTCCCAAGTGCCTGTTGGCTCTGTTAGGTTTGCCATGGTGGAGGCAGTGGGGAAGGATACTTTTGGGTCCGTAAGAGTCCAAAGTAAAAACATACAAACAGAAATTCAAGCCCTCTTATTTCTGATGATGATAAAATTGTATTCTTAGTGGCGCTGCTGAATTGTTTATAGGGTAATAGTTTTCAGGTTAATTCATTTCAGATGAAATCTCAGAAGGATACTCTGTAATGCAAATGAATGAGGGCAGAGCTGCTCTGTGGGGTGGGGGTGGGGTGGGGAAGAGTCCATTTCTGATGGACCCCGGGGCTCCGGGAACCAGTCTGAAGACCACTGAGCCCATGTGCTTGAAAGACCTCACTGTCCTCCTTGAAGTCACCTTCCAAAGACTGTCCCCTAAAATGTGCCTAGTTTCTTTAAAAGCCAATTATAGGCCCATCATCAGTATATTCCTCTGAATATTTTTATAAGTAATTTCAGTGATTTTTGGGGTGAACTTGGGGTAAGGCAGTAATGTGTGCCAGGGCAGCACATGGACCCAGTTTTGCCCCAACTGGGCATTTGTTTGGAGAAAATCACTTAACGCCCTCACCCCTGGTCCCATTGCCTGAGTTGTAAAATGACAGGTTATGCTGGGCAATCTCTACGGTCCAGTCCTGCTTTAGATTCTATGAGTCTAGGAAATAAAGTCGCCCCCTCTTTCATAAAGTAGAAAGACTCTTGTATTTGTCGTAGAGAGCACAGCTGAGATATTTTTAAGCAATTTCTGGCGTACTATGTAAGCTGTAACCATTAGGACACCAGATCTGTTTCCTCACAGGCGATGGCTAGTCTACCAGTATGGAGAAGTATCACTCTTGTAGTATTTCAACCACAGGCAAACCAAGAAAGCACCAGCGAAGACTGCAGAGCTATATCCCCAACTGCCCTTTGTATCTGTTGGGCGTGTCATCCGTTCCCTTTGACCTCACAAACTCCTACCCTTGGCTTCAAAGAGAAGAGATATGGTGGTGATTTATTACAGTATTGTTTGGGAAGAAACTTCTAGGAAGGGGACTGTGTTTTCTTTGTCCTTGAGTCCCCAGTCACTAGCACAGTGACGGCACAGAATACAATACCAATTTGTTGGCTGGGCTGGGCGCCTTCCCCAAGCCTATTTTCCTACCAAAAGGCACAAATGGCTTTCTGATGAAAAAGCCCAGAGAAGCAGGACCATATCTTGCCTCCACCCCTCACTCTCTCTTTAGGGGTAAACTGCAAACTGCGATTTGGTTTCATCCCGAGGACTGCCCTGAAGGCACTGGGTGTTCCCAGTGTGGGTGGTCCTGTCAGTGGGTGGGAGGAAGGAGGGGAGAGGTACACACACAATCCTCATTAACAACCCCTTTGTTGTTGGATAGAGGTCACGTTAAGGGTGACTGGGAAGTTTCATCTTTATACGGGCGATAGCATGCACAGACTTGAAGGCCACTGTCAACCCGAGCAAGAAACCCCAACATGCCCCAAAGCAAGGGATCTCAGCTTGGCTGCAAACCAGCCATGTGACTCAGTCACCACACGAGGCTGGCAATGCTGAAAGGAGCCACAACAGTAAGAACAGTGTGTGAGGTTCTGTTTTAAGGTGGGGAATACAGCTTATTTTGGTTTATTTGAAGCATGTGCTAAATGTGTAAACACATCACTGGGTGTTTGTTTGAATTTCATACTGTCTCTCACATCCCCTGATCCCGAGTGAGTCACACCTCTGGGCCTCGGCTTTGTCATTTCTGTATTTGCTATCATCTCTAGAAGAAAAGCAGTCAGAGGTCCACCTTGCTTTGTGAATTTTTTATATTTAAAAAAAATGAATTTATTGTGTTTCCAGCTGAGATCTAAAAAAACTAAGGATCAAATGTAAGAATACCTCGTATTCAGGAGAGACTTCCTGAGAAGTTATAAATCCAATTAAAGTTCCGAATCTTGAAATGGGAGGAAATGGCACTGAAACACTAAGTCCAGTTCATACACATCCCACAGCAGCCCTGGGACTGTCACTGCCTCTCTGCACCCAATCGCCAGCAGTCACGCACTGAGGGAACGGATGCTCAAGGCCATCCTGGAACACAGTCCAGCCCTTGTGCTTTATTCTGATGGTCACGGCGGAATCCCCGCAACTCGACATTCACTGCGTTCTTGAAGCCTGGCCTAGCCGACTTGAGGAGGAGGAGCCAGAGTGGATATCTTAGGTTATAGCCGAACAACAAAGCATGGTTGGAGAAGAAAAATGCAGTAATCCCACAAGATCCTAAGAAACGTCAGCGTGTGGAGGGTCACAGGTAGACCGGAGGCCGGGGTTAGCTCCATGTAAACACACAGAGGGCACTGTGGCCATTGTGCCCCCAACTCCAATCCTACCCATTTGAGAACATTTTATCATCTATTTCCGAAAGGAATAGATTGGCATGAACAAAAAACAAAGGTTTAAACCAAAAGTAAAAGAAAATCCCAATTAAGTGTTGGTGAGGCCAAAGGGCAGAGGCGGGTATCTCCAACTCCATTTTTGAAAAAAGGAAGACAAAGTCTCCGATGCTCCGAAGGACTGGAGGCAGAGTTTGGGATGGGTCAGCTGTACATCAGCACAGGGCCTGTGCTTCGGGATCGTGCTGGCTGCCCTAGCCCTATACCCCTGCATCTGAGCACCACTGGGCCTTCCTCCAGCCAGTGATGCCCACCCAGCCAGAGCCACTCCCTTTCACGTGCCCTTAGCCCTTCCCCTTCTCAGCCCCTGGGAGCCCCCCCCCAGGTGCCTGAACTGTTGATTGGTAGCAGCGCTCAGCATTGAATGGATGTTCATGCCAGGCCGGCTGAAAGCACTTTCTACACATTACCTTGCTCAATCCCACGCAACTCCTCCAAGGTGGGCGCTACTGCGGCAGCAGGCAGGTGAGGTGCTCCAAGCACGGGCTGTGCAGTCAGGCTGCCCAGGATGAATCCTAGTTCTAACCACTCAACGAGCTGAGTGACCCGATACCTGCCTGCATGGGTTTCCCAGAGAAATCATTACACAATCATTGGAAAGTGCTTAGCACAGAACCTGGCACAGAACAAGCATTCAATAAATGTTCGTTTTTATTAATATTCCTTTTTTTTTTTATCTCTGAGGGTAATGCCTTAGAGCATTTAAGGAATTTGCATGGGTAAACAACTTGGGAGAAAAGCTGTTTCTATAAGAATGCCTTAAAACTAAGCTCTACTTTCTGGACATTCTGAAAAGAAAAGAGATTTTCTAGAGGTTGCGGATGGGGTAATGTATTTTAGGTTATAATTGCTGCCATGGTTGATTGATAGGACTGCGCTTACTGCTACAGTGGACACAACACATGCCCATCAGCCTCAGTGCACAAGGAGATCTGCCCTGAGGGCCAGCCGTGAGTCCCCTCGCAGGACCCACTGAGTGATGACAACAGGGATGTTGAAATAAAATAGACAATTAAATGGGACTTTCTGAAGTAAGGCCAGAGAGCAGAGGTCCAGCCAGAGGTGCCGAGAAACCTGGACTCTGTGCCCAGAACACCTGACATGCTGTCACTGCTGTCAGAAGCACTCCAAGGTTGGGCCCCAGGGTGACTTACCCGCGGAGTCCGAACCAGGTAACCAAGAACTTAGATGTGAAAGGACGCAGGCAGGATTTTTTACACATGCAATTAGGTGATTGAGATTCTACGTATCTTTCACTGGGGAACTGCGTTAGACCACAGTTTCTTAAAATTATCGTCCCAGGCTTGTTATCACTCGCCTGGGGGAGCACCTGGGGCAAAGATCATGAGGTTCTGAGGCACAGGCTGCAGGTCCCATGCTCTCACGCTGGAGGGGGCCTGGCGTGGACGGCTTCCAGGGGAGGTCGCAATGAGGCTTCCGACCTCTGACGAGGGAAGCAGGCACAGACAGTTCCCTGTGAGGTCTGCTGAGGATGACCTCAGGTAGTGAAGGATGAATGGCAGCACGGCCCCCCACCAGCAGGAGCCCTGACACGTCTTGGCTACCACTACTCCTGTAGTCACATGGTAACGGGGGGCGGGGGAGCAGGCGCACTGTCCGGGGGCCGGGGTTCCCTCACATACTACATTCAGATCAGCACTGCCACTTGGCCATTTAAAAAAATGCCTCCAAACTGTGAAGCTCTGGCACACACAACTGTCACAGAACCCAGCCACCTCATCTGGCGGTATCTGTGGTAGTGCTCAGGAAGGGGAAAAATAAAACCCTTACGACTTTAATATCTGATGACGGTAACTTTCCCACGGGTGGTATTTTTTAATTGGGCAATAGACACACTTCTGTTGTTGCCAGTCCTTACGTTTCTGAGGCACACCACTTCTCAGGGAGCATAAACAGTAGCCTCTCCTTAGCAGATGGCCAACTGCTTCTCATGCTCCCCTATTTCTTCACAGGTATCGCA